CTGCCGCGCTTCGTTTCTGTGCAATAACTACAACAAATGTTAACTGATTTTCTTCAAACTTGGTCACAGAGTTAAATGTCTTAAGGGCTCGGCCAAGTTCGATGACCATTTTCAGCGGATTCCATTTAGCGGAGTTATGGCCCCTTGAATAATAAAAAACGTCATTATCTGCTGCGTTTCGTTTCCGTGCAATAACTACATACCACAAATGTTAACTGATTTTCTTCAAACTTGGTCGCATGGTTAAATGCCATAAGTGCTCGGCCAAGTTCGATGACTATTTTCAGTAGACTTTATTTGGCGGATTTATGGCCCCTTGAATAACGAAAAACGTCATTATCTTCCGTTTCTGTTCATTTACTCTCGCAAATATTATCTGATTGTCTTCAAACTTATTACCAGGGTTCAACGCATTATGGGCTCGGGCAAGTATGACAACCACTTTAATCGGGCTCCATTTGGTAGAGATATTGCCCTTGATTAACGAAAAAAATCATTATCTGCAGTTTCCGCTTAATAACTCTAGCAAAAATTAGCCAAATTCCTTCAAACTTGATAACAATGTTTGTGTTCCTCTGTCTTTCCACCTATCTGGGACACTCTTTGGTTTTCATGTGATAATTGCTGTAGATATTGTTCAGATGTTTCAACCAAATTCCGTATGCACACCCGACTGCAAGCGGGGGATATAAATTCCACGAATTTGCTTGTTGCTACTGTCTTAGAAATATAACTAATATTGCGTAAGGTCGTAAATAAAACATAAAACTTCGATGTTTATCATCTGAAAATATTTCTTTAACGACAAACATATACTGCCGTTGCTGTTCGGGTTTATCCCCCAATGCTTTAATGTGTCAGTGAAGTTATCATTATGCACTATGTTTCTACGAGAAATGATGTTAAATGTCTCTGTTTAGACACTATTTATGTGTTTTAAATATATTTGTGTTATTTATACCTTGTGGACATGTATTAGAAAACAAACATATATGCAAATGATCACTAGATTCTTAAATACGACACACTATTCTACCTTTTTAGGATCACACCGGTTCTTAAGGTTCTTTACATTCGTCCCACTGTAGAGCGGAGTACTAGGATTGGCACCAGAAAGGTTTTACCGTAATGTTTTAATACCTGGACCAGTATTCATGAAACCGTTATCATGCTCAAGCAGGGATTCTTGTTTCTGTTATGAATTTCATGTGAATGATTTGGTAAAACATTGAAGAGACTTAAAGCCGAATTCTGTTTTTGATATTTACATTTGCCTTTTGAATCGTTTGACATGATTTCAATGAGTTACTAGTAGGTTGGTTTTAGGACAAAATTAATGATTGAGCACGAGTGTGGTTATATAAGTACGGGCACAATGCCTAAGGTTGTTTCCGCATAATGCTTCATTAGAAAGGTTTTCTCAATCTGTTTCAATGCACAGGACTAACATGGTAAGTATCATGTAGGCTTCCCACATTGTTCCTGTAAGATGACCAATGGAGATAATGCCATAATGCTTCTAGGACTGATGTCATGGCGTTTCCTCTTAACGTTTTAGTAGATGACTTAAGGGGTTTGTGAAATACAAAGTAAATCTAGGGTAGGTACAAGGAATATTTCATCTTAACGATTTATACTACAAACCTTTATGATAGGTGAAATGAAGGTTTCATCCTAACGTTTTAATACTCAGGACCTAAAGGGTTGGTTTAATGACAGTTTCATCATAACATGTTTATACAAAGTAGCTCTAGGGTAGGTACAAGGAATATTTCATCTTACAGATTTGATACAACAGAGCTCTATGATTGGTGAAATAAGGTTTCCTCTGAACGTTTTAATACACAGGACCCAAAGGGTTGGTGCATTGAAGATTTTCCAAACGTTTGTTTTCTAATACAACTGGCTTAGTACCCCTTTTGGTACCCCTTTACATCCATTTCAATTATGTTCTCTACTGCGTCCGAGTATCTATCTGACATCCCCTTACACCATGCCTCATGGTTTGAGATAGGAAATATAATTTGATCCAGACCTCTTCTAAATAAAGATAAATTATTATTCTATAAAAATCGTAAGGAATGCATCGTCAAAATACAAATACATACTCTATCCATGCACAGAGATTTTATTCCGATCTGTAATGATTGAAATGTCCACTGAGGCATGCTTACATCTTTGTATCTATGGAAGTCTGACTGTTTTGACGTAGGCTCGTATTTAAAAGTGTTAGGACACACTGCGTCATTCACTGGGATGAAATGAGACATATAATGAAATTCAAATTGCATCGGATTGTTTTTATTCAAGAATGATATGACTTTATCGGATGGATAAATGGTGCTCTGCCACGAAGCAAATGTTACAAATAATTCTATATAGATGTTTTCAAGTTGGTGGTGTGCAGCCTGACGATAGACTGTGACCACGTGACCGGTGACGGAAATCCCGTCACAGTTACCATATCAAAAATATATATACGCTTGTATTGCAACTCGATATCAATTTCCTTTCTGATATGAATTCATTGAAATATATGCTGCAAACTGATAAATTTGAAATGAACTTGACTACTGGAAAAGGGAAAGTCATAAACCGGAAAACTCGATTCGATGATATCAAAATGCATAGAAAGTATAATAGGATGGTTCTATATGCGTGTAAAGAGATACCATTATCTAAATATATTGTTTCAAACACACCACTCTGGTAAAATTTACATCTTAATATAAAAAGCAATTTCAGCTAAAGTGTCAAATTCAAACGGCTAGAGTAATAAATAGTCTAGTTAAAATTAACGGTAAACCTGCGACTGGAAATGGCATTGCGATTACTAGCCATAGAAAGTGACAACGAATTTATATAATGGTGGTGTTTCACTTTAATGATATATATTTTATTGTCAGAGTCGAATAGATTGGACACAATTTATGGTCATCGAATTCAATTCCTGTCTCAAAACAAATTCACACAGTTATTTACGTCTATGTAATATAATTGCAAAATACAATTTTAGAAGTAACATACAATAAATTATAGTGAGGCTGAAGGATCTGGTAAACTAAACACTTATGTAAAGCAAATATATGGACAATCAAAAGCAAAAGATTTATATTTGTCATTTGTTTTAAACAGAGCTACTTGATGGTCGGAATAATACCGCTTCCAAATACAAACAGACGCATAGTGCTTTATGTCCCAGGAAAACTCAACAATTTGTACAATCTTAAATACTTCAAGTTGTAAAATAATTTGGGTCAGAGTTCCGCCTTTTACTTGTCATCAGTCATATCCAAATTTGCATATTTTTACACATTTGACTTATTTTACTTATTTTTTGAAAAAAACACCACCATTTTTTATTTTGACACCGTAAAAAATTACAAGAAATGAAGGCGATGGAAAATAAATAAATAAATAAATAATATAAATATATTGCACCATGTTGTTATTTCCTCCATTTTGGATCCATCAGTGGTAAGATCAAAATCTATATCCATAGTGTTCTGAAACATAAATAGAAATGCTGCAAAAAAGAAAATGATAACTACTAGAAACTCTTTATAAAGTTGCATTTGTATCTTTTGACTACAAGTGATAATCTTCATTTCATTATTTCATGTAAACCTCTAATAATCATTTCATATTTGTTAATCAATTGTGTAACAATTATCACGAGCATTTTATCACCTGAGGTAGTAGTTCACAGTTCAACAAACTTTTGTCGTTCTATAAAATACATCACATGTATGACTCAGGCCATCACCGGCCGACCCGTAGACGTAATCTAGTCGTTTGAAAATGCAGCGGACAAGCCCAGCATGATAGGCATCTCGTTATCCGATGTGACAAAATAAACAAATAGGAAGGTGGTCTCTGTGAAGCGTTCCTTGCGATAGGCCCACTACCTTGTTGTGGAGCGTTCCTTGCGATATGCCAACTACCGTGCTGTGGAGCCTTCCTTGCGATAGGCCCACTACCTTGTTGTGGAGCGTTCCTTGCGATAGGCCCACTACCTTGTTGTGGAGCTTCCTTGCGATAGGCCCACTACCTTGATGTGGAGCCTTCCTTGCGATAGGCCCACTACCTTGTTGTGGAGCGTTCCTTGCGATAGGCCCACTACCTTGTTGTGGAGCATTCCTTGCGATAGGTCCACTACCTTGTTGTGGAGCCTTCCTTGCGATATGCCCACTACCGTGCTGTGGAGCGTTTCTTTCGATAGGCCCACTATCTTTTTGTGGAGCGTTCCTTGCGATAGGCCAATAACCTTGCTTTGGAGCGTTCCTTGCGATAGGCCCACTGTCGTGTTGTTGAGCGTTTCTTTCGATAGGCCCACTACCCTGTTGTGGAGCGTTTCTTTCGATAGGCCCACTACCTTGTTGTGGAGCGTTTCTTTCGATAGGCCCATTACCTTGATTTGGAGCGTTTCTTTCGATAGGCCCACTACCTTGTAGGCCCACTACCTTGTTGTGGAGCGTTTCTTTCGATAGGCCCACCACCTTGTTGTGGAGCATTCCTTTCGATAGGCCCACTCCCTTGTTGTGGAGCGTTCCTTGCGATAGGTCCACTACCTTGTTGTGGAGCGTTTCTTTCGATAGGCCCACTACCTGGTTGTGGAGCGTTCCTTGCGATAGGCCCATAACCCTATTGTGGAGCGTTCCTTGCGATAGGCCCACTACCTTGTTGTGGAGCGTTCCTTTCGATAGGCCCACTACCTTGTTGTGGAAGGTTCCTTGCGATAGGCCCACTACCTTGTTGTGGAAGGTTCCTTGCGATAGACCCACTACCGTGTTGTGGAGCGCTTCTTTCGATAGGCCCCACTACCTTGTTGTGGAGCGTTTCTCTCGATAGGCCAACTACCCTGTTGCGGAGCGTTTCTTTCGATAGGCCCACTACCTTGTTGTGGAGCGTTTCTCTCGATAGGCCCACTACCCTGTTGTGGAGCGTTTCTTTCGATAGGCCCACTACCTTGATGTGGAGCTTTTCTTTCGATAGGCCCACTAAATTGTAGGCCCACTACCTTGTTGTGGAGCGTTTCTTGCGATAGGCCCACTACTTTGTTGTGGAGCGTTCCTTGCGATAGGCCCACTACCTTGTTGTGGAGCGTTTCTTTCGATAGGCCCACTACCTTGATGTGGAACCTTCCTTGCGATAGGCCCACTACTTTGTTGTGGAGCGTTCCTTGCGATAGGCCCACTACCTTGTTGTGGAGCCTTCCTTGCGATATTCCCACTACCTTGTTGTGGAGCGTTACTTAGGATAGGCCCACTACCTTGTTGTTGAGCGTTTCTTTCGATAGGCCCACTACCTTGTTGTGGAGTGTTTCTTTCGATAGGCCCACTACCTTGTTGTGGAGCGTTCCTTGCGATAGGCCCGCCACCTTGTTGTGGAGCGTTCCTTGCGATCGGCCCACTACCTTGTTGTGGAGCGTTTCTTTCGATAGTCCCACTACCTTGTTGTGAAGCGTTTCTCTCGATAGGCCAACTACCCTGTTGTGGAGCGTTTCTTTCGATAGGCCCACTATCTTGTTGTGGAGCGTTTCTCTCGATAGGCCCACTCTCTGTTGTGGAGCGTTTCTTTCGATAGGCCCACTTCCTTGATGTGGAGCGTTTCTTTCGATAGGCCCACTACCTTGTAGGCCCACTACCATGTTGTGGAGCGTTTCTTTTGATAGGCCCACTATCTTGTTGTGGAGCGTTTCTTTCGATAGGCCCACTACCTTGTTGTGGGGCGTTTCTTTCGATAGGCCCACTACCTTGTTGTGGAAGGTTCCTTGCGATAGGCCCACTACCTTATTGTGGAGCGGTCCTTTCGATAGGCCAACTACCGTGCTGTGGAGCGTTTCTTTCGATAGGTCCACTACCTTGTTGTGGAGCGTTCCTTGCGATAGGCCCACTACCTTGTTGTGGGGCGTTCCTTGCGATAGGCCCACTACCTTGCTGTGGAGCGATCCTTGCGATAGGCCCACTACCTTGATGTGGAGCCTTCCTTGCGATAGGCCCACTACCTTGTTCTGGAGCGTTCCTTGCGATAGGCCCCCTACCTTGTTGTGGAGCGTTCCTTGCGATATGCCAACTACCGTGCTGTGGAGCCTTCCTTGCGATAGGCCCACTACCTTGTTGTGGGGCGTTTCTTTCGATAGGCCCACTACCTCGTTGTGGAGCGTTCCTTGCCATCGGCCCACTACCTTGTTGTGGAGCGTTCCTTGCCATAGGCCCAATACCTGTTCCTTGCGAGAGGCCCACTACCTTGTTGTGGAGAGCGTTCCGTGCGATAGGCCCACTACCTTGTTGTGGTGCCTTCCTTGCGATATGCCAACTACCGTTCTGTGGAGCGTTTCTTTCGAAAGGCCCACTACCTTGTATATTTGTCCATTATCTACTGCATTGTAGTAGTATCTGCCACTATTTTCAAAATATATCCACAACCGTGCTGTGGAGCGTTTCTTTCGATAGGCCCATTACCTTGATTTGGAGCGTTTCTTTCGATAGGCCCACTACCGTGTAGGCCCACTACCATGTTGTGGAGCGTTCCTTTCGATAGGCCAGCTACCTTGTTGTGGAGCGTTCCTTTCGCTAGACCCACTACCTTGTTGTGGAGCGTTCCCTTCGATAGACCCACTACCTTGTTGTGGCGGCTTCCTTGCGATATGCCAACTACCGTGCTGTGGAGCGTTTCTTTCGATAGGCCCATTACCTTGATTTGGAGCGTTTCTTTCGATAGGCCCACTATCTTTTTGTGGAGCGTTCCTTGCGATAGGCCAATAACCTTGCTTGTTGTGGAGCGTTCCTTGCGATATGCCAACTACCGTGCTGTGGAGCCTTCCTTGCGATAGGCCCACTACCTTGATGTGGAGCCTTCCTTGCGATAGGCCCACTACCTTGATGTGGAGCCTTCCTTGCGATAGGCCCACTACCTTGTTGTGGTGCCTTCCTTGCGATATGCCAACTACCGTGCTGTGGAGCGTTTCTTTCGATAGGTCCACTACCTTGTTGTGGAGCGTTCCTTGCGAGAGGCCCACTACCTTGTTGTGGAGCATTCCTTGCGATAGACCCACTACCTTGTTGTGGAGCCTTCCTTGCGATAGGCCAACTACCTTGTTGTGGAGTGTTCCTTGCGATATGTGCGATATGCCAACTAGCGTGCTGTGGAGCCTTCCTTGCGATAGGCCCACTACCTTGATGTGGAGCCTTCCTTGCGATAGGCCCACTACCTTGATGTGGAGCCTTCCTTGCGATAGGCCCACTACCTTGATGTGGAGCGTTCCTTGCGATAGGCCCATAACCCTATTGTGGAGCGTTCCTTGCGATAGGCCCGCCACCTTGTTGTGGAGCGTTCCTTGCGATATGCCCACTACCTTGTTGTGGAGCGTTCCTTGCCATAGGCCCAATACCTGTTCCTTGCGAGAGGCCCACTACCTTGTTGTGGAGCATTCCTTGCGATAGACCCACTACCTTGTTGTGGAGCCTTCCTTGCGATATGCCAACTACCGTGCTGGGGAGCGTTTCTTTCGAAAGGCCCACTACCTCGTTGTGGAGCGTTCCTTGCCATCGGCCCACTACCTTGTTGTGGAGCGTTCCTTGCCATAGGCCCAATACCTGTTCCTTGCGAGAGGCCCACTACCTTGTTGTGGAGAGCGTTCCGTGCGATAGGCCCACTACCTTGTTGTGGGGCGTTCCTTGCGATAGGCCCACTACCTTGTTGTGGAGCCTTCCTTGCGATATGCCAACTACCGTGCTGTGGAGCGTTTCTTTCGAAAGGCCCACTACCTTGTATATTTGTCCATTATCTACTGCATTGTAGTAGTATCTGCCACTATTTTCAAATGTTGTTCGTAAATTGATCAGTTTAAAGCCTAAGGTGAATTTAATATGACGATATGACATTGCTGACCATTTCAGTCTTTTTTTCGGAAATGTTAGATGTTAGCAGTCATGAAATATCATTTTCCGCAATACATATCACGACATCATTGCTTTAATGGTGCTGATTTAGCAAGGGAATAATTGTTGAACATGTTGGACAAACCCTTGTTTTTTTGTTGTTTTTTTGAACCGGTACACGGTCAACTAAGTCATGCGCCATCTCTTTCATTGCTTCTTCTTATGTCTCATTAGTTCTTCATTGTATCAAAAACAATTTGGTGCAATAGTAATTCTTTTTCTCTGCAAGTGCCTGTTTGTCGCTCATAGCTTTGATACCAGAGAACAATATGCTTTAACAAAATCATCAACACCACCCTCAGAAGACTGAACTGCTTGAGAAGGATGAATGCATTTGATGATTTTTTTTAATGACTCGCTGTACAATAGCATATTTAGCAGTTTTTACTGTTTTCCTTCTAAAATTACTAAATGCAGCACACCAAGTTTTGGTACTGTGCGACTGTTGACTGAGCACGTGATACATTGCTGTTTGTAACCCTTTGTAACCGAATGCACTTATTGAACTTTTGTTGTAGTTAATTGAAATCCGTGACTCAATAAGCACTAAACTTAACATGTATAAAGGGAGTAGGAATTGAAATCCGTGACTCAATAAGCACTAAACTGTACATGTATAAAGGGAGTAGGAATTGGAAATGCGTAATGACATTGAACGTTAATTCCTTACTTAACTGCTCGTTTGTCATTGGTCATGTTTCGTGCCTGATCAGTCAAAAGTGAAAACTAGTTTGCCGAGGAGTTAGGAACCACAAGAGGAATGTTTACCGGAGAAATAGTTCCTCTGGTAGGTCCGAACTTCTTGGGAGAAATAAGTTTGACAGTTGACTGATAAGACATGAAACAACTGTGTATAATTGTACCAGAACTCATAAAACGAACCCAATCTTATGGACATTATCTTTGTTGAAAGTCAAATGACTGAGACTTAAGTATTTCTTAAATTATGATCATGTCCGTTTTCAAGCATTGTGATTTTTTTTTTCTATTCCGCGGGGTTAATGAGGTCATTTCTTTCGTTTTGCTGTCATATCGGTTCCACTTATTGCCTTTTTATCGAATCTGAGTTCAGTTCTTCAGTTTAGCTATTGTAGATTTCTTTATTTTATTTTAGAAATAGATTTGAAGAGTTCAACTTCCATTTAGGATCTGAGACATCCAACGAACGCGGAAGTGACGTCATTACTATCACATGACCACAGTGTATACATCCTTATATTTGATGACACACAGGATTTTGCAATGATCTGACTGGTTGCGGACATTGCTTTACACTTTAACGGTTTGATAGTTGTTTTTTTAATTTCATGAAAAATCTACAGATAAAAACAATTTCGTAGTGATACTGATATAGGCAGAAACCGTTATAGTAAATGAAGAGCAGTAATACACGGGGATTAGTTTATGATTTGTGAAATACAAAATAAATGTGTTAGACTGGAAATCTGTCTATTAACAATCGAGCGTGTGCTGAAGGTTTAATTAAGTAGTTCCATCCCTACATTTTAGATTTCTAAATAGCTCTGCCTGTCAATACGTTCTAACATTCCTCCTGATGTAGGAATATAAGTCTATCTAATGTTACAGGAAGGTTGCCTGACATGGGGAGGACGAATTGGTTGTGAGGAAACATTACCAAATCGTGACCCCCTAGGGAGATAATTCAAACAATTATGAATTTGTCTACAAAGCGGAATTCTTAGCTCCATGATATATTACCGAGTTTATTTATCAGAATTGAGACTGCTCGTGACAGGGGGGATATAAACTCCGGCACAGCTTTCCCCGCGGATTCCGTAACAGATATTAAATATTTCAACAGACAAGTATGACGAGGCGATTTATCAGGTGACATGCGAGAGGAATTTCCGTATTCCCACCGGACTCGTGTCTACATCCTGGTATTTCATTTTATAACACGTGACGTATTGATCCCACGCGACGGTAGGTGTGCGAAAGCGTCTTCTCAAAGGGAAACTTGCCGAATGTTCCAGTTTTCCCCCCTGGTAACTTTGGCAGTAAAAAATTTACACCTGTTCGACGCATAAAAACATCACGTTATCAGTTTGAGCACGTTGCACGATTTACAACCCAAACTTTAAAGTCAAGAGGGTTAACTTTATGATTATTTAGTTATCTGTAACTGTCACAAAGAGGCTTGGCGAACAAGGTTATACGTACAATGTAGTTAAAGGGGCTGGTCGGGGAAAAAATGTCATATTTGCTAAAATGGCATACACATGTTTAGAATACCTTTTTATGAAATATACCGATACAAATTTTGCTAAAATTCACTCCCTAAGAGTAAAAATTATACTTATAGGTAAAGAAATCCTAAATCGTCATCTGACAGTCTAAAACTCTCAATTGACCCAGATCAGTGATGTTATTTTACCGCTCGCGCGTCATCAACAAGGCCAAATGTAAACATCGCGTCGAAAGAAAAAGATGCATGCAAAAGTCATGACAGGCACGAGGTATCAATACCGTTATATATAACAACAACATATAGGTAGGAATATTACACTTGCATCATACATGACCTTTGAAAACAATTATTTACGTATAGTATTGCTGTCTTGTCCGCTAGTTGACCATGACCGTGCTATTGTTGTTATCTTCACTGCCTCACTTTCGAAACAACCACGTGACATATATAAATAGATCTGCGCTAAATTTACGCGGGGCTTCCCCGATATTTCAGTGTTCAAAAGTGGACATTGCAAGCAGAACTCGACCATCATATTGCCGTGGTATAACTTTCGGAAGGCCAGCTAACGCATTTAGACCCATTTATTTTGTATTTTTTTCCCCGACCAGCCCTTTTAAAGTATTTTATTACCATTGGTCCTTTTGCGAAATTCTATTTTTTGTCGTCTTCAACAAATCTTCGACGTCTTGCAAAATATTTTACAGATTTAAAGCTCTTTATAATTGAGTATTTGAAGAAAGAAAACAAGAAGAAAAAACAAACCAAAACAAAACAAACAAGAATCGAACTCTTTTTCGTGACTGCTGCAGCAGAACCCGTTCACCTTAGGCTCCTGTATTTCTCTTAATTAGTTCGGTACGTATATAAATGTAAAACAAATCGTGCCTTCTTTACGTCGCATTTTAAATTACAGAAGCCTTTACGCGTCATCTGCTATTGTTTTTTTGTAAATAGGAGTGGTTGTGCCTCGATCAGAAATTCGCTAAATTATGTTTAATCCCATATATATGCAAGTTCATGTTTCTCTCAAACAACAAATAATACTTTCATATTGTGTTTATCGGAAAACCGATACTTCCCAGGACAATATCCAGGTGTTGGGGTGAACAGTACTAAAAAGATACGTACTCCCCGGAACAAAACGAGCAGTAAATATGCCCCGTTGATTAAAAATCTATAAAATATACACGTTAAACATTGGCGATATTGTCCAGATGAGTTGAGAATGCAGTAGCGGTAGGTCAATGAATAAGTAATGTCTCATATATGGTGCTGAAGCCCTGATATTACAAACACCAAGGCTCATCACTTACATTTTTGTACTTCACACCTATGGTACAATGGTATGATAGCCCACAGCCATCAACAGATCTGGACCCTCCACACCTCGAGTAGGATTTCTTTACGGCAGCCTCAGTGAATCAGCAATATAACCAACTCAATATAACGGTAGATTGTATAATGATGCTACGGTAGACCCGGAAGTCAGCAGGCTCCTCACACCTAGCATACAATAGTATGGTAGCCCAGTGGCATCGGCGATCTCTTAACACTTCGGGTACCAGAGTATGATGTCCTCAACAAACTCATCAGTATGATGTCCGTACGGCAGCCCTCTGTCATCAGCAAACCATCCACTTCTCGGGTACAACAGTATACTATTGCTAGGGTAGCTCCTGGCACTGACTTTCGTAACCTCGTGTACGATAGCAAGATGCTACGGCAGTCTGCTCGCTTCAGCAATCTCTTAACACCTCGACTACCGTATAATACCGCTACGGCGGTCTCCGGTCATCGTTCAACTCTCCACCGATCGCGTAACATCATCAGCAAACTCTCGGCAGCCTGAGTCAGCTGTGTTGTATCACTAAAGCAGTTTCTTGGTACCAACAATATCTCCAAACCTCTGTTACGGCATGATCGTACCCCCTTCAACTCGTATACTACCTTGCTATACCGGAACGGCATCCCACAAGCTCAGAGATGAGTTCTGCAATAAGCTCAGGTGGCCAACACAAGGGGTGAGCAAGACAAACATTTTGTTTGTAAGCAGTTCTACTGAACTGTATTTGATATAGGTGGTCGGGTGGCGCATCAGTGGATAGCGCCATTGCCTTTCACTAAGGCGGTCGGGGTTCGATTCCCCGATCGGACGTGAAAAGGGTGTAGGGTCACCTACCGGAACACGTGGGTTTTCTCTGGGTACTCCGGTTTCCTCCCTCATTAAGACCCCGCGCGCTAACATCCGGGCCAACAAGAGTGATTAATATAAGTTGTAAAAAACTTGTTTCATAATTGTCGTAAAATAAAATAAAGTTTTTATTATATAATGGTCGGGCTTAATACCAAGCATGGGTTTAAATATGTAATTTTCATGTTCTTTTTACGAAAAAAAAAAGTGTTTCAGAGAGTCTTATAACCATAAACTGGAT